CACTGTCACACAGTAAATGCTGTTGTTTAAAATGGAAAGGATAAAAAAGGGAGGAAATGGAGGGGGGCTACTTTATATTTGTATATATTATTCATGTTTTATTCATTTCTATACCTTTGTTAGACACAATTGATTTTGATGTGTGGAAATAATCGTTGAAGTTAAGATTTACATTTATGTATATTTTTTGTGTTTTGTTTTGTTGATATCCTGTCGTTTTTCGTTTTCAGCCCCAGTTCTTCAAGCGTAAAAATAAGTAACATTAGGAAATGATACTTTGGTTTTTGCTTGTTTTTTCTTCTACTTCAATAACTGTTTTCTGTTAAATTTAGGTTTTGATATTTATCGGAAGAAGGACATAGTAAAAAGGTTGACGACAACATTGGCGAGTACATTTAGATCGCCCGAATCAGTGTTCCTGTGGATGCTTCAGCGTTCTTTCAGTATTTTACCTAGTCGGTATGTTCTCAATTTTATTTTGGCCATTTAAGTCATTATGATGTATCGTTTGAGTAGAATCGTCGAACTGGACTGAAAACAGCTGTTTATGCTTTTTGCTTTTTGTAATCGTTGGTACTCCACGCAGATCATGGCTATTTTCATCAATTCAAGCTGTTTCAGTTACATAAAACCGTTGATGATTACTTTGCTGTCAAAATGATGTCAGAACTAAACGGAATATTTGTCCCTCCAAAAACAGCAGAAACTTTACCAAGTATTTCAATTCTTTTCTTTAATACTTCATCCAGCATCTGTATACCACGCTGTTCTATTTTACTGCTTAAGATTTTTGCTTACTTACATTTTATAGATACTAGTTTGTAAATATTATAATATGGGTTTAATATTTCAACTGCTTCATTAATCCATTATGAAATGTATTGTATCTGATTTATGAATTTGGTCATTTAAAAAGGAAGCGATATATGTGTATACGTGTATGTGTATACAGTTTAGACTTCCATTGATTTCGTTTTATTTCTGTTGACTTTTTGAAGCAATTTTTTCATTATTATTTTTTCTTTTTTTATTTTTGATGCTGGTCTTTAAAAAAAGTTTTTGTTTACACAATCTTATTATAATTATTACAGCTACTGGTAGCGATATGAGCAACGCAAGCGGTTGGGCGGCTCCTATTAGTGGCCAGATTGGTAGTGTATGTAACAAGTAAGATTGTATGGAAATTCGTTTTTCTATATTTTTATTAAGACATGTTGTAGATTGTTCTTAGAGCTTTAATAAATGTTTTGTGCCATTTTAAGAGCTGATTTGGCACAAGTGGCAGCGAAAATTGATTCTTTAAAAAAGTGGACAGTTTCAACATATAAAAATGCGAAGCAGTCAATTTGTGAGAACTTGGGCAAGGTAATGGTTGATCGACTTGTAATACATAATTAGCCGTGTGTGTTATGTTGCTAGAAAATGAAAAATGATTTGATAATTTGGTTTAGGCAGAAAGGACGGTTGATAAAGACTTAGAAGATCAAATAGAATCGTTAAAAAATCTTCACCGACGATATAATCAGGTCCTTTAATTCTCTGTTATTTCACCTACTCAGCTCTTAGCAGTTTTAGCCTTCGCTCGCCACTACAGAGGCAAATAATGGGAAAAGTTTTGTCAATTTTGAATCTTTTATTTACTCAGATAAACAGCTGTCTAAAAAATTTAAGGTGTTGACTATGGCTGAGTCATTTTTTAACTGTCTTCACCTGCTTCATGAGACACAGAAAAGCCTGGCCGAATCTCTTTATCAGTTATCTTTGAAGGAAACAATGTTAACGGTAAAAACAGTTGTATTTTCAAAGTTAACTAATTTAAAAGCTTAGATGTGCAGAAATTAATGTGTTAGTGTACTCTTCACTAGGTTTTAATAATCACATTTTCTCTGTTCTTTGTCGGTGACTTTATCTATGACTGATTGTTCTTTTTGGTTCGGAATATAAACCATAAATCTCATTATACTTGAGCAATTCATTATAAAAGATTGATCGCAAATATTTTACTTAATCACAATTTTAACAGAAAGAGTGTACTGGAAGCAGTGAATGTCATCGCTCAATGGCTCATAATGGTGAACTTCTTGAAAAATCTTTGACATTCTTTCTTTCCTCCATGCAAACTCTCTGCCAGAAGACATTTGAAGACACAATGACCACAATCCACAATCATGATCAAGTATCCCACTAAATTTTCTTACGTTTTGTTTCAGGTTGTACCTTCTATTTAATCGGTGAATTTTTGTTCTTAAAAATATTGCCTCTTTTTTTTTACTGATGTAATGGTGGTTTTCAAACTGTTTCAGGCTCGACTTGAGTATGACGTCTATTTACATGAATACAATACTATCCGTCTGCAGCCTAATGCTCCATCTGAAGCTGTAGCAGCTGCGGAAGAAAATTGCAACATTCGAAAACAGCATTATGAGCAGTTGAAGGCGGATGTTAAGGTACTTTCACTGGGTTGTTTTGGCTAAGAAATGAATTTCTTGATAAAATGTTGTATTTAAGGTTAAAATAAACTTGCTTGAAGAAAATCGGCTTAAGGTAATGCGGAAACAACTGTTGCTTTTCCAGAATGCTCTCTTGGCATACTTTTCAGGTATATCACTGAATTTGCAGTACAAAAGTGTTCTGTAATTTTTGAATTCATTTTAAGTACTGCGGTTTAGACTCAAAACTATTTGAAAGAATGAGTTGCTAAGGGTGTGACGTCTCAGTGAAATTTTTTTAGGGAATGCAAAAGATTTGCAATGTAAGCTAGATGAACTCGATATGCAGAATCTTAACCGGGGTGAATGTGTTGCTCCTTCTTTCCTGGAACATTAGTTCACACTTTGTTTGTTAACCAGTTAAAGTGCTCATCTTATTCTATGGTTTTTGCGGCCGTCGTAGTTCCAGTTTCGAATTGAGAGCCGTGCACCAGTGCAAACTACTTTTCTTGGATATTCACTCACAAGTGGTTTAGTTTGATAATGATTCCTTTTTCGTCACGATAACTCTAATACCGTTTGGATAATCCCTTTGTGCGTTTTAATTCCTTAAAAAGTGTTAAGAAAAATGCACATTTTTTAAACTTTTTTCTTGCATTATATGTATAGTTTTTGAAACATCACATTCGTATGTCCTGTAGCAATATTTGTTGTTGTGATGTAGCCTTTCCTGAACGTTTCATAATTGGATGCCTTCGTGAAATCTGCATCATGAGTATTATGAGCAATAATTTTTGACATCAATTCATTTGGTGACTATTGCCTTAGTCATATAAGCGGATGTTCTTGGGACATCTCAATGCATAATTTATTACCTCTGGGAGGTTTATTTGGGTCATTTGAACACTTTTCAGCATAAAATTTTGGAGTTATTATAAAATGTGTTTGTTAATCTGTTTTGAATAAATAGGCTAAAAGTTGATTTATACTATTTTTAGCATTTGAGTCATTTCCGGCAAAATACTGTTGGACTTGAGTTCTGTGTCTTGTAAGGCTGGAGTTAATTCATTTTGAATTTCACTTTTTTAATGCTTTTAATAGCTTTTTCAACTCTTTATTCTCTTCTCGTTCATGTTCTTGTAACGATTGCTTCTTGTCACAATAAATTCTTATCAGTAATGAGTGTTTTTTAGGCAAACTGTTGTCGATGGTTGAGAAAATTGATAGGTTATATATTAGAATATTATGAAGGCTTTCTTTAAAACTGAAAACTATATCACCGTTTAAAATTACGGTTTCCTTAATATAATCAGTTTAATGTGTTTTACAGTATGTCTTAATGTTGTATCTTTTGTGAAGAATCTTTTGAAGGCTCTTTGCTAAAGCAGTATGTTTTATCGGCGTTTTAGATACTACTTTGTTTATAAATTCCTTCCGCAAATTAAGTGATAACTTTGGTACTACATATGAGCTTTTGGAAATAGTTGGAATTTGAAGTTGTACTTAGAGTACAGCAGCAACTCATTTTAGATAGGCGGGTTGTGCAAAGTACTATTTTAGAAAATATTTTGAATGTAAACTTCACTTAGGAATCTGATTTTACAACTTCAAAAGTCTTGTACGTCAATCACAGTTTTTTAGTCTGAAAAGCGTAATTGTAGTTAGCAGTAAATTTGGACAATTTTTTGACTCGGTATTGTTTTATGAAAGTTGATTCTGCTTAATGTGTAGGAAATGAAGTAACTGGTTAGAAACTGGACAAAATTTTTGTCATCAGTGTAGAATTGGCCTCAAAAAACAAGTTACGTTGAGTGTGACTTAAAGAATTTTAAATTTTTTTTTTGGTTGAATGGAACTGTTTTTACATCAGATAATTACGACTGTCTGAGACTTGACTTGTTGTTGTTTTAAGCTGTTTTAAACTTTCAGCAGTTTTGAAGGATAATTTTTTAAAATTTTTTTTGCACTTAAAGAGAAAGTAACAGTTACACAATAGTTCAATTTAAGATGTCGAAAACGTTGAAGCAATTTGTTCACTTGTACAGGAAATTGATGTACTGATTACATATACAGATTGGTGTAATGAGGAACGACTAGTCTGCAGGATATGAATCCGGTACGGTAACTTCAAAAAGTAATACCTCTAAGTGCAGTAACTCTGTGGACAGTTAAAGGACAACATTCTTTTATTTTTGTATAATTTATGAATATTTGTTTAAAATTTTTTATCTTTTAGCAAATATCAGTGATCATTCAAATTTGTTAAAAATTTTTGTCTTAAAAGACACTAAAATCGAGAATAACACTATGGTGGAACTGTATAAATCTTTGTTTTTATAATGTCTTTTTTTTTTCTTCTATGATCTTGATAGTGATCTTCATACCGACAACGACGACAATGATACTGGTGAATATATTGGTTATGATACATACATCATAATTATCATAATTATCATGATGATCATGATCTTCATGATCATCGCCATCATCATCATTATCATCGTTATTGCCCGTAGTCATCACCGTGCTGCCATCATCAGCAGAAATGCACCAATTATCCATTAATTAATCTATCAGTTAGTACCCGAAAAATTTGGTTTTACTATAGTATTTTGATTAATTTGTAATATAAGAAAAGGGTGGGAAAAAAAGAAAAAAAAAAGGTTTTTTTTTTTTTT